CAGTTTGAAGGTCGTGGGTTCGATTCTCGGTTCTTAGGTTTCTCGTTTTTTCCTTGGCTCTTGCAGTATTATTGCGGTTTTTTAAACCAAATCGGTAATTTAAAAATTTGAAACTGGATATTTTAAGTATTTGAAAATTCCAAAGTTTAGATATTTGAAAGTTCCAAAGCTTTAAATATTTAAAAACTCAAAAATTCAAATTTCCCAAATGAAAAAAACCTCGAATTCACGATTCCAAAATCAACACACAGTCCGCGCCGAGAAATTCACCGACCAGTCCTCCACGATCAAGCGATCGAGGACACGCGAGTCTACTTCGCTTGGAACGCGTTTCCACTGCTTTCCCGCCGGTCGATTCGGTCGATATCGAATTCCCGTAGCTGCTGCTCTATCGTCGTTGAATATATTGATCAGCTGGATCGACGCTACTGGGAAACGGCCGACGAGGAACTGTAGATTGCAGAGAGCACGAGTGCCCGATCGAGAGAGAGTCCGTTCGTGGACGCTCGAAGATAGGCAAAATCGCGGCCAGCCGTTATCGGATCCCAGCGTTTCGCGCTGTTATCAGACCCCGCCACTGAAACTGTCACGGTCGAAATGATCACCGGTCCGGCTAGGTTCCGAGTGAGCCACGCTAGCACCTGTGCCACCCGGCGTTTCTGTAATAGCGCCGACACTTCGCTAGAGCCATGCTGGCGCAAAATTTAAAGTACAGTTTGCGTGTCGGTGTCGGTGATCAATTTGTGGCGAATAACGAAAAATTGTAAAGATTAGATACGGAGAGCAGGTTTGAAGTTTCGTTGAGAAACATTTCTATTTCGTTTCTATTTTCGCGCGGTGTACTTTACGAAGGGTTTTTCAAATCTCGATTGATCAATGAAAAACTTTACGATAAATCTCTGAAGTGATTGCACGTGTTCGCGAACGATAAAGGAAACGATTTAATGCTGTACGAGATAAAATACTAAACTGAGATTAACATACACTTGTAGTAACGCGAGGAAATTGCCACAAGATTCTGTTCGAAGGTAATAGCAACAAAAGTAGACTGTCCCTTCTAATCGCTACACGTTCGATGTAATTATAATCCCGAGTACGGTGAAAGATAAGTCTCGGACTGAGAAGCAACTTTCTTGTCTAACAAATCATGTATTTCCTCCAATTTAAAATTCATTTACCGCTCCGATAAAAATGGCAAAATATAAGTTGAAGGAAGAAATGGAAAAAATCATCGTGGAAGATAATAATGCGAACGATAAGTCGGGCCGCGAAAGATCGTTCACGCGTAATTGAACGCAATCGCACGTCAATGGCGTAGCAGATTTACTTTTCATCGGGTTTAATAGCCGCGGATATCGCTGGAAATTGAACGTTATTTTCCGCGCGTTTAACAATCCCCATTCCTGGATACGCGTTTCCGATTGATATCAATTATCTCCCCCGACTATTGAATTCGTAAATTCCGTCCGGCGCGACCCCTCGAAAAATTATCGTCCGACGAAATCCACGCTCGCTAAATTCATTAAGCGAGAACGATAGATCGATGGTCGCGACGGGCCTGTCATGGACGCGTAACGACGTACACGCTGCTGGCATTAATCGAACTCGCGATCTCGTATTAATCCTGCAATTGCATCTGCAGTCACAATCTCCAACCGATCGTTCATTGTAGATATCCTACGAGTAAGCGATCACTTTTGTTATTTTCCATATCAGATGCCTGAATTCGGCGAGATTTTCTGAAAAATCTGTCACATTCGTACGTTTGTCTAATAAAGAGAAATATTTTTTTCCTTTTCTTTTTATTATAATCCTGTTTACAATATTTTACATCTATCTTGCCTTATTTCTTTGTCTAATAAAGAGAAATATTGTCGGTTAAGGTAAAATCTGTGCGTAACCAAATTTGGCTCGTGTTTCTCCTTAACCCTTTTGGTACAATTGTCAACTGCAGTCGACTGACGCGTGACGAGTTCATCGAGTATATCTGAATCAGACATGCACTTCTCCTCGACAGCGTTTGTTTTGAATACGACGTATTTTATAAATCGATAATAAGTTCGTATCATCCTTGAGAAAGTATGAACAGTGCACTCTCGGTCGTTGTTGCAGTACCGAAAGGGTTAAAGGTGGCTCTTGACAACAACAATAAATCTCGATAAACGCACGAATACCTCGTATCCCTATGGAAACTGATCGTACCAGTCGACATAACAATTCGATAAGTATAAATTATGTGCGTCGAGTGATCAGACCAAGAATATACCACGTTCGCAATAGAAATCACATTTCCACACGTTGTAGCATTGCGTGTTTCACAATGCAACATCGATCGAACATCCACATCCCTCAGCGAGGACCCTATAGAGTCTTACCCTGTCAATAGCCGTTCCCTTAACTCCTTCGGGTAAACCATCTACTCATCACGCTCGATCGAGCGGAAGCCAGTGGCTGTCGTCAAGGATAACCCGGATTTAGCGCGGCGGCTGTCGCTTCATCCAGCTTTTCTCACGAATCGATCTCACTGCTCCTCCCCTTGCACCGGCCGCTAAGAAAACCTCTCCTTAACCATCGTATCTCTGTTCACAGGTCCGGCCCATTCGACAAGAACGGACGACTCTGGCCACGGAGCCACGGTTCCCTCGTTTCACCCACGAAACGACGGATTTCACTTGCAAAAATCGCTGACGATGAGCTAGCGACACGACGATGAGGAGGATGAAGCAGCGCGTGCTGCTCGCCTGGCCATGGTTGTGGCTGTGGCTGTTCGCGGCCACAGCGGGTTCCCCGTCTTCCGACACTTTCGCGTCGACCACGTTCTCCTCGTCAGCAAGCAGCAGCAGTAGCAGCGGTATCAGCAGCAGCCTGAGTTTCACTAACTCAGTGACAAGATCGTTCTCCCCAACGATCCCGACGTCCACGTCTGCCTCTTTCACCGAGGACTTTGCATTCCCTCCCGATCAAGAGTTCCGTTTCACTCAACCGTTGTACAATGTCTCGATCCCGGAGAACTCGATCGGGAAGACGTACGTGGTCCCGGAAGAGAGGATGGGTATAAAGCTCGCGTCGCCCGACACGAACTTCGACATACGTTTCCGTATAACGAGCGGCGATCGCGACAAATTCTTCAAGGCGGAAGAACGAACGGTCGGTGACTTTTGTTTTCTGTTGATTCGGACTCGAACCGGTAACGTGGACGTGTTGAATCGCGAGAGGAAGGACCGTTACGTGTTAGAGGTGCGCGCCAGCTTGGCGAAAGGCGACGGAAAGAATCGTGTGACGATACTCGAAGCGGACGCCACCGTGGTGGTGACGATCTTGGACACGAACGATCTGAACCCGCTGTTCTATCCGACCGAGTACGAGGCGACCATCACGGAGGACACGCCGCTGCACCGCAATATACTCAGGGTAATAGCCGAGGACGCCGATCTCGGCAGGAATGGCGAGATTTATTACAGCTTCGCCGAGGAGACCGATCAGTTCGCCGTTCACCCGGTCAGTGGGGTAATAACGCTCACCAGGCCGCTCAGGTAGGTCCATGTAATAGAATTCTCGTGTTTCGTTTGATGAGCCCGCGGAATCGCCGGTCCACGCCTCGGGACCACCGTTTACGACGGACTGGAAATCTTTAGGCGGATCTCGCGAACCATTTTGTCCAAGCATTTTTATTTTTCTTCTTTCTCATTTTTGTTTCTTTTTCTCTTGCTTCTTTTTCTGGATGTTAT